GATTTGGCCGGTACTGACCGTCCTGCTGCATCATTAAGATAGCAACCACCAGCATAGTGATGGTGATCAACATCGGTCTCGCAGTAAATGACACAGGAACGCCACACGGCTTGTCACGGTCCACACGACCTTCAGTAGTACGGGCAGTCGCATTCACAAAAACTGATGTTATGAACAGCACTGGCAATGTTCGTAATCATCAACGGCGAAGTTGTAAAACTGGACGGTGCAGTTGTAACAACGTAGATGGTATCGGCAATGCCATGATCCTCTCCACAACCACTGCCGCCAGCAGCATCATCACCATCATACGCGACGCCCATGCGAGGGGTATCGGTAAGTGATGAGCCAAGGAGAGCCGAAAAGATAAAAGCGCTGTGTGGTGTAGCAATACCCGGAGGCCCATAGTAGTTCCTTTTTGGGGGTTCACATTTAGAATCCTATAAGGTAATCCCAAAAAGGAACTACTAAGGGGCCTATGGGTACGGCGCAATACCACTTCAGGAGAAGAGCTTCTTCGTGACGCGAGCTCCTCTTCCTTGAGTGCCTCGCCTGCAACTCATTTCTTTTTTCCTCAATCAGAACGCCATAGGTACAGGTTGGACATGCTGTGGAGGATAGTATGAGTACAAGGTGCCTCCGTAAGGTCCATACGCCCTGGGTCATTCAGCAAAGAAATCGGATCACTGCGGCTAGCCACGGGTGCTTGCAGAGTCTAGCGCTGAGAGCTCACACACGGTGCACAGGGTGCCCGAAATGAGGGTTCAGAGTTGAGGTTTTCGATTGCAGGATACTGGTGGAAGTTGCTGGCATTCATCAAGTCCAGATGTAAAAGCAGGGTGCTCCTTTACAATCCTTACCTATATCTCTTGATTGGGCAATCCTGGAGGCAACAGCCTTCAGGGTTGGTTTCTTTTGTTCCAGGTTGCTGGCTTGCGCGGACTTCGGTTAGCCTCGTATTCAGCAGGTTTCACGGCCATCAACACCAATCCTCTTGTACATCCTGGTGGCTTCAAAGAACGAACCGAAAGCCATACATCTCACGAAGACACCTTTCACGACTCCTAGCCGTTTCGAACCCTCATCATCTCTTCTCCATCCTTAGCATCTTGAACTGGAACCCTCAGCCCCTGACTTGATCTACATTTGAGGCCTCGAACCACCCCAAACCTTAGGGCACAAAAGGCTTGAAGCCAAGGCGCCCCCGCCCACCCCCCCTTTCCAAAAAACAAGCTTCAAAAACACCCCTCTCCTTCACTGGTATCATTGCGACGATGGGTTATGTCCTCTGTCTAGTCAAAAGCACGTCAAAAAACAAAGATTCGTGTGTGTGCGTACATGTGTAGACATATATAACATATATATATATATACATATGTACATATATACATACACACGTGCACATCTGTATGTGTCTACATGTCCTTCCTGCATTCATGTGCATATGTTTGCGCGTGCCATCCGGCGATGAGCGTTGATAAGCAGATGTTGTCGCTGCTGTGGTTGCATTGCTGACTAGTGCCAGTATTGCCGGCAGAATCTTATCTAGCGTTTCCTACCGAGTATCAGTGTCGGTGTTATCCAGGCTTTCCATATTGATGTGTTCATTATGATCACGTGTTTGCTTTGTCGTGGTTATTCTTGCCGCGACGATACGATGATTATTTTTGTGGCATACCTGCTCATAGTTGTGGCTTGAGAAGGACGGACCACGCTCGCAGCTCTAGGAGTATTCTTTGACCTGTATCACACTGTTTGGATGTCTGTGTTTAGGGATTTCCGAGTTTTGCTCGGTAGCTTGTCCGTTGTGTACATCTTTCGTGGCTGCCTGGGCCGAGGGTGCACAACAATCTCAAGAGCGTCGCTTAAACTTCCAGGGCTGGGATATGATTCACAGGCATCGTAGACCTGCTTGGCTAGGTTGTGCATCGGCTTATGCCGTCGATGTTTGCAGATGGGCATATAAAGCCATAGCACGCCGTAGTGGGCCTTAATTTTCTCTCAAGTCCAAGACGCAGGTGCCCTGCGCACGGAGACTTGCAAAGCCCTCGATCTCAAGCTGGACTACTGGCACACGGAAGGCCTGTAACTCGAGGGTTCGTACCGGTGCGAGCAGTGGTATTCGTCGTGGTTCCGGTCTTACTGATCTACCTCATCTACCTAGAGGTCTTAGTGGGTGGGGGTTTAAGGATATACTTGATCTGTCTCACGGCATTAGTAGTGGTTCGCAGTTTGCGGATCTACCTAGCTACCGATTGTCTGTGCATTAGAAGGAGTGAGTTTGCGCTGACATCAAAAGTCTCGCACCAGTATACCTCACAGGACCAGGAGAGCTTGATATCTTTGATAATACCACGTAGTTACGCAATATGGGCACTCTTTACTTAAAAGTGGTTGCATCACTCTCTTTCGGGTTTTCCGGGAACCGGGAACAGTACCCTTTCTTGGCGGGTTCAAGGCCTCGGTGATTTGAACACTGGCAGGCATTTCAGAAAAAACACCGGAGCGAGACTTTGGATAACAACGCAATGAGCCGGCGAAACTACAACCTTCTATGGCCTCCTGAACCCTACACCCTAGACCCTAAGCCTAAACCCCAGAAGCGTGACCCTTGAAGCCCGATACTCTGCTCTTCCAGCAAGCTCTGCTGCGTGTCATTGGCAGGGCACGGGGTTACGTCGTGTCGAGATAACTACCTATACTATTTTGGGGGCTCCTTCCTATAATTATTGTATAATATACCCTAAAACCCTATTCTAATTATTCAGGCCCCTATCTTAGGAACCCAAAACCTACTTTTTTATAGGGTCCCTATAAATCCCATATTAGGGTTTATAATAAGAACCTGCAAAAAAGTGGGTTTTGGGTACTTAAGGTATGTATGAACCCAGTGTTCAGGCTTTTGCGTTTAGAGCCTCAGACCTTCACGGCTCGTGATGTAGAGACAACGGGAGGTAATTGCGCGAAGCAGGGGATGCGTAGAATGTAGGGTTTCTATATTAGGAATCCTTATTATGCTTTGGGAAAGTATCCCCTCATAACACTACCTAGGATGAAGATGGTTTCGACGCGTTTTCCACTGTTTTTTTTTTGGGGGGGGGGCAAGCTGGCATTGCAGGGAGTCCACAGCATGTATGCGGGTCGTTCTTTAAATTAGGGTCCTTCTATGAGGGTGCCGCTTGCTTTGGGGGTCCGCAAAAAGGGACCCTAACTTAGAGAACTACCCATGTGAGCGGACATGATAGCTGCTCTTTGTTCAGCGAGGCCAGAAATACTTGGCCTTCGACGACGACCTGACTGCTATCGTGTCGGTGCGAGGACTGTTTAGCCCCACAGCTGGCTTTCCGAGGTTGCCCGTGGTAGGGAATGAGGCTATCGCATATTATTCTACGCTAGACGCCCCTGAGGCGCTTGAACTCAGTTGAAACTGAGTAATGCTGTGTGGCACAGACGGAAGTCACGTCACGAGTTCGTTTAGTGAGGAGTTTTGCAGCCTAGCATGGCCGCAGGATTCTTTGGATGCTGCATGAAGCCTGGCTGAATGGTCCCACCGCCGTCTTACCCTATCGAAACCAGTCGAAGCGAAGTCCTAAGAGGTGGCCCCGATCTCGAAAACTCGCAAAAGTACCGCCGCCCAAAGTTCTGGGCTGAAGCTTGAGATTCTGTTTATCAAGTTGACGGCACCAGAAATGGGAGTTTCAGAAAATACGATACCCCAGAGCCTAGCAGGGTCCTCTAGGAACCCAGAAGAAGGTACTACCGGCTAAGTATCTTCGGGGCCTGCCTCGCTGCGGACTGCCGCTTGTAGTGGTGCATGCTAAGGAACCCATTCCGCAAAGACCCAGGGTTTAGGGTTTAGGGTTTATGCTAAGGAACCCATTCCGCAAAGACCCAGAGTACATCATGGAGCCGTATGGCTTTGATCTCCACGCCTGCTGGCTCAATTAGTTTGCGATACGGCTGCAGCAGTTCCAAACTGAAGAACCCAGTGGTTAGTTGCCACACCGACTGCAAAGTGTGGGCTTGAAGAAGCTAGGAGCTCGGGATCAAAAGCTTTCGGCTGCAAGCTAATGTAGGGGCCTAAACAATTACCTATACTATTTTAGGGTTTCCTTATTATAATTATAGTACAATGGGCCCCCAAACCCCATTCTAATTATTAAGGCCCTTACTATATTACACTGGGTTAGGCAATTTCACCGGGCTAGATGTATGAGTGATGAGGTCAAGAGCAAGCCTGATGAGCGTGCCCTCGCTGTGCGACCTTTGCCTGCACTTGTTCGGGGATGCCACCGGTTTGAAACAAGGCACCGGTTGGGTTTAGGGATTAGGGTTTAGGGCACCGGTTTTAATGGGATTTAGGGATTAGGGCACCGGTTTGAACAGGGTTTAGGGTTTAGGGCACCGGTTTAAATGGGATTTAGGGATTAGGGCACAGGTTTGAACAGGGTTTAGGGTTTAGGGCACCGGTTTAAATGGGATTTAAGGATTAGGGCACCGGTTTGAACAGGGTTTAGGGTTTAGGGCACCGGTTTAAATGGGATTTAGGGATTAGGGCACAGGTTTGATAGGGTTTACGGTTCAGGGCACCGGTTTGAACCAGAATTCCGTTCAAGACTTCTCAATGGGGACGTGTTTGCCCACGCTGGTTCCTTCGCTGCACTTCGATTGCCCTCTTGCTGCACACGTCTGCCATACAAAACGTCCGTAGTGACGAGGAGTTGTTGGATTTCTGCTTGTTTGACTTCCTTCATCCCAGCATGTAGCCAGACATCCGAAGCAGTAAACCTGCTCGAGAAAAGTTGTAGCGTCTCGCAGTCCTGCCGTGACGATCGAAGCTACACCACAAACTCAGGGATCTTGCTGTCACAGCTTTGGCATTGGGAGTTCCACTTACATATGGCTTGAGACGCTTGCTTAGTGTGTCGTGTCAGTCACTGTTTGTATATTCTCGGCTGTTCTTGTTGTATTCTGTCTGTTTCTTTACGACAGTCCTAACCATGCTCCGGCTAAACGAATACTCCTCGGCCAGATGCTGCGTGCGTTGAACAAGTCATATGCCCAGAGCTTATAGAGCAGGCTTCATTGCCGACACGCATTTTGTCCTGAACGTGACGAGCTCCCTCCTCTTGGGGATCAAGCCAATCGTTCGCACTCTGATGCCGCCCCAGGACAGGAGGGTATCAACATGCAATAGAGGCTTGACGCCCCGAGCAACTTCTTGCTAGTGTCCTTGTCCCTCTGGCTTTTCTCGTACATCTAACTCATTATCGAAGACTGAATAATCTTAAAAATAGTATTCCTTTGGGTTCCTTTTTAATAATTATCTAGTGCACTACTCCAATTATTAACTAGTTATGAAAGCCTCCTATTTTAGCTTTGTACCAGCTCCAAGCCCGGGGCAGGACGGAGCAGAAACACGACTGGAAGATGCAGAAATGGCAAGACCAGGCAGGGCTGCGATTGCGAGCGGGTAGGGTTTAGGGTTTATAGGGGTTTAGGGTTTAGGTATGGATTTCGGGTTCGGGGTTTTCACTGCTCAGAGCCTGGTTTTGATGACTTCACTCTGTGCTATGGAAGTACGTCTGCAACTGCTTTAGACTGTCGAGACATGTCGAGAATTCGCGTCAAAGTTGGCAGCAGATCACTCGCAAAGTGCTTCAGCAACCCTGACCCATCCTGAACCATCATTCAAATGGCAGGACGACGTCGAATGCTTAAATCGCGTTTTCAGATCTGCTCCGAAGGCACATCGCCCTTGGCCCACCTGCTACAGGGCCTTGGAGAGTTGTCGGGGGACCTAGCGGGCAGAGTTCTCGAAATAAGAAGTTGTGATTTGTTTCCAGTCCTCAGGCTAAAGCACTGGTTCCCTGACTACTATCACACAACCCCTTAAGCCTTAAGCCAAGCGTTGTTCCCGGAAACCTTCAAGCTTTCGGGTTCAGATGTGTGTTTCCGTTAGGGCGATTACTGGCGTGGAAGCTTTCAGGATCTACTGTAGTTTAAAGGCAGCGGCAAAGGTTTCGGGTTTAGGGCTAGAATTAAAGGTGGGTCGAAAGAGCTTGACATTCTAGATGTTTCGATTTCACCCTTCGCGTTCTTGCTGTTTCGTTTCGGAGGACTTAAGACGTTAGTTGTGGCATGTTCTGAGGAGGGAGGACTTGCTCGACCAGTTCAAGCTGATCTCCGAAGACAGAGCTGCTATGCTGATTACACAAGGGCTGCACAAGTAAGAAGTCACTAAGTAACAGTGCTTGCCAGTAACTATTACATTTAGGCTTGCCAAGCATGTTTGGCTCAATGCTATCCAGCGGAGCAACAAAAGCGCCCCCACCCCTCGCTTGCCCCAAGCAAACCAAAGCCCGAAATCGTCCTAGCCAGGCGGGAGGCAAAAAAGCCCGAAATCCCACAGCCGAAGGGGTCCTGAATCGAGGCTTCGGTGGGCATCAGCGTTCCAAGAGAAGAGGAAGTGCCAAAGAGCCACCCGGCAAGACTGGCATGTGGGATAGTTACGGTTCAGCAAAAAGGGTGTCGGGTTTAGGATGTGAGCGTTTGGGGCATAGGAGCCTCAATTGAAGCCTGAAGCCCTTGGTCACGCCGTGCCACTGTATTGAGCATGCGACCGTTTAGCATTTACGCCCCGGGACTGCGAAGCGAGAAACCGCAACAGAGCAGTTTAGCCGAGACCCTGCGAAGTTGATGTGGGACTAGTCCAACAACAGGCTCCGAGGGGTGGAGGCGCACGGCATGCCTTGAAGGGATCGCACACGTAAAACTGCCTCTGGCATCGGCCACACACCCAGCAGGAGCAGTGAAGGACGAATGCAGGCGAGTTTCGCCGGGGTCAGAGCCTGTTAACACTCAACCGTCTGAGTCTAAGCCCTATACACGTCTTAAGACCTTTGAAGGAATCTCAGCCCTAGACTTCCCTAAACCCAGAGTTCCTTTTTAGGGTTCATATATAGAATCCTGAAAGGTAACCCCAAAAAGGAACTACTATGGGGCCTATGGCAACCCCAAAAAGGCAGCATCCCAATGTATCAGTAACGCTCCATAGAATCCTTGAAAGCCCAGATAAACCCTCTGCAAGAGCCGCTTTATACAACCCTACTACACGGTTAATATAGCCCCATGAACCCCTAGTGAGAAATCTCTAGACATTATGAAACTAACAGTATCTCTTACCCCAAACTCCCGAGTTGTCTGCCCCTATGGTCTGCTTGCGGCGCCTCACATCAATGCCCCTCAACCCCAAACCCCAACATTACAGGCTCGTCCTTGCTAAGTAGGAGTGGAAAAAGCCCGAAGTGTTCTAAGTAGGGAGGAGAAAAAAGTGTTGACCGAGGTCTGCTCTCGGCAGAGCCAGACCAAGCTGGCGGTGGCCGTGGCTCGGTAAAAGGAGCCTCGGGTGTGTTACAGCCCTCTCGAGCTATATTAATATGGCGGCAGCGTACGGCAGCGCTAGCATAGTTGCCATGCCGTGCTTCGAACCTTGAATCCCCAGAATGCACCCCCTTGGGAAGCTTTTCAAAAGAAGGTAGCCTGGGTTTTAGCCATAGATTGGTGGTAGTCTAGACGTAAGGACCAGGTCGTGCGTCTTTGTTCAAGTTTGCAGACCTTGCGAAGCACAAGTGACCTCGACGCCACACCCACCTGAAGGTGGTGGTGCTGTCAAGCCTGCCGCACGCTGGGTCTTGCAGCTGGAGTTGCCTGCGTCAGCTGCCACTTTGCACGAACGATGCCTCTTCAAAGTTCTTACGTTTAGGAAGGTGCGAGGGTTTGAGCTGCACATGTCACGAAAGGTTGCACGGAGCTTTGCGGCAAACACACATTCAGGCAATCAAGGTCGCTAGTAGACACAGGGCTTGCATGTCAAAGTGCCAAGCAGTGGACTGGACCCAAACAGATCTAAAACATTCTAAAACCACCATAGCACGTTGCCCCCTGCAAGTGTTTTGTCGCGCTTTCCACTTGGATGCCCGCCACCTGCTCTCCGAACATGATCATCGCAACCCCGTTTGGACAACTCTCCGGTGCACAACTGCGAGGCTTTCCGATAACTTGTCACCTCCGGACCGAAAGCCCCACAGACCTGAACCCTAACCCTAAACCCTAAACCCTAAACCCTGAACCGAAGGACTCTATCATCTCGACAGATAACAATGGCAGATCGGGGGCTTCTCCTGAAGCTGTGAGTGAAAACGGCTTCCACATCAGGGCACGGTTTAGGGTTTAGGGTTTAGTGGTCGGGCTAGGATTCGTAGACGTTTTAAAATATTACCAATGTACAAAGATGCACTATCTACGCTTACCTGAGCCGCTGACAAGAGCCTAATATCAAGCTTATGGCATATATATATATATATGTGGGAATCCGAGAAAGGCAGGCACGCCTGTTCATGAAACCCTCAACCTCCAACTTCTCGCCCCTGGACCCATTTTCGGGCCTCAGCTCATTTTGATACCAGCTGGGTGTAATTTGGATTTGCTCTTGATTTCTGGTCTAAAGAAATCAGTCACTGTGGAGATTACAGTTACTGTATAAGGGGATACTATCCCTAAACCCTAAACCCTAAACCCTAAACCCTATTACGCAGACAGGTCCGACCTGCCGGATTAGTCCTTTATAGTGCTGCAACCGCAAGGATCGTTAGCTGACTGCCTGGAGGGTTTGCATTCCTCGGTACTCTTGCAGGAGACGCAGCATCGCCTCTAAATCGGTTCCCAGTCAAGAGCATATGGCCGCTATCCAGGTTCCAACCTCGCCCATAATTTTACGATCTTGAAAAACAGGCTCTTAATCTAGTCTAGGACTTCTTGTCGACCAAACCACAATCGGCTGAAGAGCCGCACTGGAAAATATCCCGATTTCCAAATGCTAACAGAAAGCTTAAAGTCTCTACTGTAAGGCCTAAACCCCACAAGAACCTGAAGACCTCCTCAAGAAAATGACTACTGTGAAGAGCCCCTTCCCAGAACTTGGTTCGCCTCTCCGTTCCCCTTGGCTGGAAGGCCGGCATGGAAGAGTTGGGGCAGCCTGTGTCAATTTTAGGGTTCCTGTAAGGGTGTCTTCAGAGGGTTCTGCAAGGGTTTGGATGTTGTGCCGGGGTCGAACAAAGTAAACATATTACACCCATACTACAGTGACGTTTTATACGGACTATATTCGAGTGTGATATACCCCCAAAGACCCTAGTCCCATATTAATTGAATGCTGGGAAGGAGGTGGGTGTTTTTCTTCATGCACCGAAGTTTGAGTCTCTTTCCACTAGCGCAGCAAGATAAACTGCCCAAGGTTTTGAGGATTTGAGATCGCTCTTTTACCAGTCATCTGCGAAGACAGGTCGTCGCTTTGGCTCAGCAAAGCACGCGGCGCATCCACGTGACTTTGGAAACCTTCGATGCAGCTCTGGCGCAGAGATTTGTTGGGGTGTCTTTTTTGTACTTGCGCAAAGTTGTGAGAGGCGCACAGGTTCGCCGGAGTGTGGCTCCTGTCATTGTTTACGCTCTGACATGATATTATGGTGCCAAACCGGCACCCACTTTCGTCAAACCTGACTTCAAGCAAGGCATTCTGCTGGAAAAGTATTAGAGTCATTAGAGCTGAGCCTACCCAGTGTACCGAAGCCAAAATCCTCGTAGCGCCAGGCACGCAAAGTGGAGACAGCACCGGAGTCTTGACAGCACTTCACTCTTTTTTGGCAATGCCGGTGTCGTATCTTCAGCTGTTCTGACGAAGGCTGCTGTGGTCTTTGTTGTTGCCATTAGCTCCGGATCTTAGTTCAGTGTGTTTCTCAATAGTGCTCGCATCGGTCAGCTGACATCTAGCTAGCCCTGCTCCGATGACAGCTACCGAAACCACGATAGTACGAGCTGCCACGTGACTCAATCAGCCTGTGATGCTTGCTTGCAAGAGGAAGCATCTGAACTTACCGTCTTCGCCGTCGGGTGGACGCCAAGGCTGCAGTATGTTCGGCATTCTGAATCCTTCGGATTGATGGGTCGACAGCGACCCGGGGGAGGTTGTGAGATGTAGGGAGTTCTGCGTATCGGGTATGCAGGTGACGAGCCGACTTTACGCAGGGTACATGTAGTGTCCGCTTCGGTGAGCATGCCGCGCTGTGCGAGACTTCGTACAGCGGAATCTATCCCATGTGTCTTCTCCTCGAGATAGACTCGTCTCCCCATGCAACATATTCGCCGATCCGGCGAATTTTCGAAAGGTTTCGACAACTTTGCGACATTAGCTCTGGGCTCACCCCCGCACCCTCCACCTCCAACTCCAGTCCGAGTGCCCTGCTGCAACATGTCATAAACATCGCTTGAAGCACCCAAAGGCTAATTGCCAAAAAAGGCCACCCAAAGGAAGGGCCCAAACCCTGAACGCCAAAATCCTGCTCTTACTGTCGTGGTCAGAGGGTCGTGTGCCTGGAAAACTAGACTCTGAAGCCCTTTCAGCTTAGGAAGTCTGCATCAGATGCCGTCCTCCTCCGGGACTTTGGCTACCTGTTGAGTTCTGTATGGGTTCCGTCGTTTTGTTAGATAAGTGTTCTATGGGGGTTGTTTCAAGATCAGGGTTCTGTTTTATCGGGTTCTGTTAGGGTTCTAAGACGGCGCTACACGGGGTTTATAGTGCTTTGTTTGGCTATATCTGGAGTTACAAGGTTTTTCATCCCCCAGGCATGGGCCCTGGGAAGTACGGTGCCAGGCTAGGACCTCCCCCTTGGGGGCCTGGGGTTGGGCTTAGAGGAGATGTGTGGGGTGTAGGGTTTTGGGGTATACTAGGTAGAGCTTTCGGTAATTTGTAATTTTTTGGCGTTTCTGGGACTCGTGAATGCTTCTGTTGCTTACCGTTGCTATTCAGGGCCCCAGGCACAGATTAGGTCCCCAGGCCACAGGTCTGCTCAACAAGAAGGAGATCTTCGGAAGGCGCGCCTGGCATGATTTCAGTCATCCATGACAGAATTTGTTGAGAGGAAAGCTAGCTTGTGAGCTGTTGCCTTGCTTACCATGCTGTGGCTCGCAGGCAGGCACCCAGGACCCCAGGTCCCCAGGTCACGCCCCGACGTCTCCAGAGGTTCGCTAGAGGTGCTGCCATGGGCAGGACCGAGGGCAGGACCGATGCAGCATCTTCCGCTGCCACGCCGATGGCCGAGGGGTCCGATGATGCGTAGACGGCAGTGGCGGCCCCCCGCAGCGCTGATGCCACCATCGAAGACGTCGTCGCATCCGCCATGTTTCCGATGGTGCAGCCCGGCATCCAAAAGATCCCGGCCGACGATGTACAAGCCCACTGCACGTGACTTTGAAGCATTTTCACTTAGGGCTGCTGAGGGTGGTAGAGTTGGTAGATGTCACATGACAGATTGCTGGCAGGGCCATCTCGACGGCGCCGGACATCCTGAAAGACACATACGACACCTCTATGTGTTTTACCTGGGGGATGGCATC